GCAGGAATCTCCTGCCCCACCCATGGCTTCCCTTTTTTCTTCCCTTGCTGTGATCTGATGGGGATTCCCTGCCTTCCATGGGGATGGGTGCAGCCTGGCTTTGTTCTGACTCCCCATTGTGTTACGCTGCTTCAGTTCCCACTCAGCATAACACAAAAGGTCTTGTATCCTAGGGATTGGGTGAACCTAGACCTGGGGCAGACACTCTCATCAGGGAGAGCCCACCTAACTGCAGGGAACACTCTGACGTGCTGGGCTGAGGGAAGCCAGGTTTGCAGGCCTCAGAGAGCCTTTGCTGCATTCAAAGCTCAATAAGCCCTCCAGTTTGATGCTGGCTGAGAGTCGCTCCAGTCCGGAGAACAGGGCTGCGCGATTCCCTCAGGGAGTGAAATCCTCAGGGCGAGTGAACTCTGAGGGGGCTCCTGGAAGAGACAGGCTGAAGGCCTGAGAGCCTCCATCCGGGAGGTGGAGCTGAACCCCCGGAGTGAGGAAGACTGCCTGAGACAGGGCTGTCTCACTGCAGCAGAGTCCCCGAGGAGGAGCTGTGGCGCTGAAAGGGAGGTTCCACCAGGGGACCAACAGGCCAAGTGTGGGCACAACCTGTGAGACCATGACAATATCACATGGACCTTCTGAATGGATTGACAAGGGCTCTCCCCAAAGGCCTTTAAGGAAAGGAAACCATCATGGAATGAGTGGGAAACTCCCAGTAACCCGTTAAAAGATAGGAAACAAAGGTAGGAATCAATGGTCACTTTCCAGAATGGGGAGGTAAATGTTGGGGTTGTTTTGGTTCTGAACCGGGACCAGTGTTGTTCAAAGAGTCATAAATGACCTGGGAACAGAGTATAGAGTGAGGCAGCAAAATATGCAGATGAGTCAAAATTACTCAAGATGCTCATTCACAAAGGAGAGTAAGAAGGTATGGAAAGGGGTGTCACAAAGTGGGTGACTGGGTAACAAAATGGCAGACGAAATTCAGTGTTGATCAGTGCAAAACATTGCCTTTTGGAAGACATATTCCCAACGACACATACCAACTGAGGGCATCTAAATTAGCTCTCAAGAGAGATCTTGGGGTCATTGTGGCTAGTTCTCTGAAAGCATCTACTCAACATATAGCAGCAGTGGGGCAGAGGGGAAGCAAACAGACTATGAGGAACCATTAGGAAAGGGATACATATGAAGAAAGATATACCATGTTGCCTCTGTATTAATCCATTGGACATGCTCACCTTCAATATAAAAGTGCTGATATATTAGAACTGAAGAAACATACGGATGGGTGGAAAAATTTTAAGAGAAATGGGACAGAGTCCATATGAAGAGAGATTGAAAGATGAGACATTTCAGCTTGGAAAAGAGTCTGATAAGGGGGGATAAGATAGAAGTCCATAAAACCATTAGTGGTGTGGTGAAAGTTAGTCAAACACTGTTACTTATTCCTTCATGTAACACAGTAACCAAGTGTCACCCCCAGAGTTAATGAGCAGGAGGTTTTAAACAAACAAAAGAAAGTGCATAATTAGCCTGGGGAACTCCTTGACCGGGGATTTTGTGAAGGCCAAAATGATAACTTGGTCCTCCAAAGAACTCAATAGTTCTTGAAAGATGCCTCCATTATTAGTTATTAGCCAAAAAGGTCAAAGACACCCACCATCTTCTGGGTGTCTAAAAACCTCTGACTTTCAGACGATGGGAGCAGATGACAGAAGGAGAATCTCATGATAATTGTTGTTGTCTACAGCAGACAAGCCTTTTCCATGAGATCCCACTGGTATAGGGGTTTTGTAGCCACCCTAGGAGACATCTGAGGTAGGGTGAACTCTTTGGGCCAGGACAGTCCTTGACTTAAGCCCTCTCCCTGCCACCACAAGTATTTCTTTTCAAAAGATGTTTGACCTGGTTCCTCTTGCTGGAGTCATCAGTCGAAAATGCAAAGAGGACAATAGCCCGCTAGTATGGAAAGGGCAGTAGGCAATGGAGGAAAGTTCTGGGGAGGTGAGTGCCAGGC